GCTGGCAAAGCTCTAAGAAACCTCATGGTTTTCACAGTTTCAGAGCACATGGTGGGAGGCCACAATCATTTTCCTTTCTATTGCATACAGATGAGCTTCAGCCCCATCTTTGTACTGCTGAGGAGCTTCTCCTCTCTTCAGCTAATGCAACTTCTTAAGAACATCCTTAAAAATCAGGAGGGGTGGGAAATAAATGCAGTTTTCAGACTGAAGAAATAGAAATAGACTTTAGAAATTAAAACCAAGACAGAATTTTACCACTATAAATACAAGTTAAAATACTGTACCTGTTAATGTACTCACATCCATTTGCAGTTTGCATATAATGCCTCATGCAATCTGAGGAGCTATTTGATTTGCTTTTGGGTGGTCTCGGTGCCGTGGCTTGCAGGTGAAAAAGTCCTTTTTCGTAAAGATGGAATGCTTTTTATATTTTCAAAAGCTGACATGATGGCTTCTCTTGAAGAAGTCTGATTAGCTGTCATACGCTGTCTTCTCAGAAAATACTGTATCTTTGTACTTAATCCTTCCCATCAGTAAGGATTTATGTTTATAAAGTGGGAAAATATTTACTGAAGGAAATTTAGTCTTTACACTACTAGTCTCTATTTGATTAAAAAAAGGACACAATTCTCTCCCTCCTGGCTGATGTGGTATCTTGAGGGTGAAGCAGGTTTATTTTTTTACATTACCTGTGACAGATGAGCATAATTTGTCTGTGCTTGTACCAAACCATACATTTCAGTTTCACTATGTGGGAATGTCTCAATTCTACCAAGCATGAGCAAGATATGTAGGACAAAATTCAGGTCTTTTATAGCATCCTGTGGTAAGTATCTTATCACAGGGACATCATCCACATGTGTAAGCATATGTGTAGATTTAATAAACACTGACTAGAAAATATCCGGTTTAGATTTAAAATAAATGTAAAATGTGTATGTATACATATATGTGCGTATGTGTGTGTAACACCTCTATGTTATTTGCTGATGATTATCTTTTATGAAGTTATGAAATAAAAGCTTTTGGCAAAATACTTCATTGTAGTTGAGGTTGAAGCCAAACTGATTAGTTAGTACCACTTAGTTACAAATCTTTTTTCTCAAGCTTTTGTTATTTTGGCTAATCTAGACTTGCTGCTGCCATCTGCAAGTGTGAGCGCTCTATGATGATTTAAAAGAAACAGAGTTAATAAGAGCTGTATCTTAGTATGACTGAAGTGTGTGTGGAACCCAAGGGCAATGAAAGGGCTAGCAGCCACTGCAGCATGGAGTATAATGCAGCAAGTGTCCTGGTGTACTTACTGCACACGTTTCCTTAGTCATAGATCAACCAATCGATGGTTTTGTTTCATCTTTTAACTTAGGAGTCCAGGTGTCCTATAGTATTTTTTATGTTTGAGATAAACCGTAAGAATGTAGAGGTTGATCAGTAAAATGCACCTTTGTGGTAAACTGACTACATTTCCCCATTAAGGGTAAAGTAGAGGGGGAAAAAAAGCTACCTCATTTTTCTGAAACATTGGAGATTTGCAAATTACTCTGTAGCTGGAGGAGGGTCTGTAGTTGTTTTGAGTTAGTTTTAGTTATGTGAGAACAATTTATTTGAGTTACCAGCTATAACCTTTTCAATGTTATCCTCCTGCAAACCCCTGCTATTCTGTTTATTGGGATGCAGCAATAGGATGGAATCTGGAATTTCAGTAGTTTTGAGCAGGTGCTGAGCTCTGCAACTTTGAGTTACATCATCTCAGATCCCATTAACCCAGGGAGGACACGGTAGAATCCCTGCACTGATGAATCAATGAATGCCATCATAACCTGCTGCACTTTGCCAAAATGATCTATTCAAATGGTCTGGGTAACTTTACTGTTTTTTTTTTTTCTGATATCCTGGGGTTTTTTTAGACTATGTAAGATGTCATTTATATAGATAAAAAGCAAAAAGGCACTATTTTCTTTGTGAAAAAGTTTTCTTCATTTTAAAATTTGCTGCCTACCTCTCTACATGGTACACCCATCACAGAACAAAGTTTCCTAGTCCAACTGCTATTTTATCATGCCTTTTCAATACATATTTGGGCTGTGACCTGCAAGACCTCTGATTTTGTGGAGATGATACATTGCTTAGGAACCAGTAGTTTTTAAGAAGCCAGATAAAATAGTTAAACATCATTAAAAAAATACTGTAACTTAAGTACAGTACTTCATATTTTTAATAAAAAAGTGCATTGAGAATATTCTTAGCCATTTTACTTGTGAATATTGGATTTGTTTGATGTTCTTCAGTCAGAATAGCTGTGTTTTTAATAACAGGTACTTATCGCTTTCAGATTAAGATAATGAGGAAATTAAATTTTCCTCTGTAGACTTTGTTTTGTATTTAAAGTAACTGCCAACTGCCTCCGTAGCTTATATATATATATATATATTTTTTTTTTTAACTTGCCCATTTAATTTCAGTAGAACACACAAGTGAATCTGCTGACAGAAATCTATGAGATTGAAAGAACCAATACGGCATCTCCAGGATTGGAAAGACCGAAGCTCAGCAGGGCTTTTTTATTTCCCCAGCCTTAATGGACAGATGCAATGACAGGCTAGGAGGGGGCCATAGGAATCTCTTCTTCCCCACAAGTAAGCTGAGGCCATCTCAAGCTCCTGCAGAGCAGGAACGATCAGCTGGTGTGACAGCCCTTCTGAGACAAACACCATGTCCCTGATCATTGACCCAAGTTCCCCTTAGGGCAGCAGTGGCAGACTAAAGCATCTTGATTTTTGCCTGGGCGGAGGCAGGAAATGCTGCTCCCCTGCTCTCTCCCACCGAGGCTGCTTTCACACTTTCACAGCCTTGGCATGGTAGGCTGGAATCTGGGCTTCAGTGCTTTGTATTTTCTGATACGACAAACACACCTCTATTGTCCACCTAAACTACAGTGCCATTGGAACTGTGCCACAGGACTGGCTGCTCTATGCTTTATACCCAGCACCTTTTCTTCTTTAGAGCCACCTCTTCTCACCAAGCTGCTGACACGTTTGTGGTTATTTTAGGTCTAAAATCTTTCTAACTTCAACCAAATCAATACTTTATTATCTTAGTTTTACTTTGTTGGCCATCTGGCTGATTTGAAAAGCAAAGGAGGCTAATCCTGTACTGTCACGATTTAGAGGAAGAGCAGGGAATCCACTGGGATGTGTGTGTGGGGTTGTCTTTGAAATAATGAGGTTTGACAACCTTTCTGTTTACAGTCAGCAGATTGACATTGAGAAAATACACCTTTAAACCACTTCTTTGCACTTCCTTCATTATGAAATATTGGAAAATCCAAGATGTTTTCTTCAGATTTTGCATATTCCTTGTATACTCTGCCTTCAGTTATGAGGATTGCTAGTGTGTAGTTTTGAGAAAGAAATCTTCACTTGATTTTCATTGTGTTGAGAGAAAAAAAAAATAATGAAGGTCAGGTCTATTTGTAAACTTAATTTCAGCTAGGAAATGAAGTAAGTTTTGACAGTGATACTGATATTACTTCTCAGCACAAAACTGTGTGTATGCTTTATCACTTGTGATAGTCTCCTCACTGTTTTTTCTTTTCTTTTTTTTTAATAGTTTTGGGGGCTTTATTTTTCCTCAGACGTAATTAGCATTACACTGTACAGAGAACACTACTTATTCTTTATCTGTTTGCTCTTCTGTGCTCTCAGGTTTGATGTATATCAAATGTATTCATTTATGAATACATTTAAACCCGTTGGAGCAGGTCCAGAGGAGGGCCACGAAGATGATCAGGGGCTGGAGCACCTACCCTATGAGGACAGGCTGAGAGATTTGGGGTTGTTCAGCCTGGAGAAGAGAAGGCTCCAGGGAGACCGAGACTATATAGCGGCCTTCCAGTGCTTAAAGGGGGCCTACAGGAAAGCTGGGGAGGGACTTTTGATCCGGAAGTGCAGTGACAGGACAAGGGGTAACAGTTTCAAAATGAAAAAGGGGAGATTTAGGTTAGATATTAGGAATAAATTCCTTCCTGTGAGGGTGGTGAGACACTAGAACACCTTGCCAGAGAAGCTGTAGCTGCCCGCTCCCTGGAAGTGTTCAAGGCCAGGCTGGATGGGGCTTTGGGCAACCTGATCTGGTGGAAGATGTCCCTGCCCATGGCAGGGGGTTGGAACTAGGTGACCTTTAAGGTCCCTTCCAACCCAAACCATTCTATGATTCTACAAATAGAATCAATCAACTAAATTAAAGGATAACGACTTCTATCTGTTCAGTTCTGCTATGGAAGAAATGGTTCCAAAATTTATCTGAGAACTTACCTTTCTTACGGAGCTACCATAGCAAAATAGAAAATGGCCTTGTGTTTGCCTTGTTTTAAAAGACTGTGCATATATTCAGCAGCCGATTGTATTTCAGATTCCAAAGTACAGATTGTTGCTTTAATTTTTCTGATAAAAAGCCAATAATGTTGCAAAGCCCCTCAGTTCTTGAAGTGGGTAAACATCTCTCATAAAAATCCAGCATCTCATTTTCAATTAATTGTGGTAAATTAACAATGACAAAGCAATGGTAATTCTCATGAAAATTTGATTTGGATCTGCTGAAAGCAGACACGCATTACTTAGTGCAGATCACCACAATGACAGCAGCATGTGTCTCAGAAATCTATCAAGGTAGTTATTTTATGCTATGGTTTTCAGACACCTGCAGTATGTCTGCGAAATGTACTTCTCTTGTGCTACTGCAACTGGTCCCAGCACCACAACAGCTCACTCCTTCCTCGTGTAGACTCTCTCCCCACAGCCCAGTGCTTCACCCCAAACAAGCAAAAAGTATTCTTGACAGCAAAACCCACACTTGAAATAGGTTGCTTTTGGTGAAGGTTGAGATAACTGAATGGAAACCCAGTCTTTTCATCCATTGGAGGATGGAGATCAATGCAAAAAAATGCTCAAATATATGGATATTTAGTACTAAAAGCAGTATTTAAAATTTTGTTTTAGGACTTCGCCCAAAAAGGACTCTGCGCTTGGTGCTATGGACAGCAGAAGAGCAAGGAGGAATAGGTGCTAAGCAATATTATCAGTTGCATAAGGTAAATGATGTCTTCAGATGATCTGCTTGACAGCACTTTTCTCCCTAGTCTTGTGACTCACGTATTATTTTTGTCAAAATGTTCAGCTTAATATATAACTGATAATAGTGATTCCAGTTCTGCCTGAAAGTATATTTTCTGGTTTTAATCATAAATGTGAACTTCGTTTTACATTTAACAGAAAGTGGTGTGACGATACATGTACATGTTCCACTTGACCTAAGATATTCTGTCATAAAACTGTTCTGAAACAGATATTTCATGATGATATGTGCCATAGGCTTCAAACACAGCTAACTTTCTGAGGATTAATGACAAATGGTCCGCATATGTTGGCAATATAAGTAAATTTTGTTTGCCTTATATATTTCTTTGTTGCATTTTCCCATAATATTTCACAATGTAAAACATAAATCAAAGAAAAAAATCTTTGCTCTCTTATCTTAATAGTGTGTAATCTGTAATACTCTTTGCCAATTACTAGTTTTATGGGATCTGGAACATTTTAAATGGTTGATTCCTTATGATGCAAGGAACACACAAACTCTATGACTGGTTAACAGGATAAAAATATTGTGTATTGTCACATCTGTCTCTTCTACCAACAACTGCCTTTTCAAAGTACATTATGACATAAAGGGCAGTTGCATAAAGCTACTTTGGAGATAAGTCTTTGGAATATGTGTGGGGTTTTTTCCCCAGAAAAATTGTTCTGGACCTGTGTAACTAAGCTAAAGTAGTTATCTTTTATTCTTTTTCCTAATTTAGTAGTATTACTCTCAGCAATGGTTAATATACCAAAGGCAGAGACAAGATGAATGCAAATGTGTTTATAAAGTCACCTGCTGTACACTAGTTGAAAGCAGACTTATAAGCAGTTCCTAAGAGTACATTTGTAATGGTAAGCAACCTGTCAGAACAGATAAATGGAAATTTCACTTTGAATCAAGTTCATTGTGATGAAAAAAACTAGATCAATTTGCATCTGGAATAGAGTTGTTAGAGATAGCATTACAGTGGTTATGGTTTTCTGGCTAACTGATGAACAGTCAATAATTTCCCACTAATGTGTTTAACATTAATAAGAAGTGTATTTAACAACCCTTATATAATGTAGTTCCTCCTTGTATTTCCAAATTATAGGGATAGCTCAGTTCTCTCATTTGGAAGAAATACACAAGAGCTTATTTTCTCAGCTTCAGGGAGGTGACAGGTTGCAGTTTAGTATGTATTAAGGACTCTG